CCGAGAATTTCCCGTTCTTTTCTACTAATTTTTGTTCAATGGTGGTGCAGTTCATCAATCAGAAAGCAAGGGTTGGTTTTTCAAAGTAAAATAGATAAAAAATTGAGATTTTAATTTTTATATAAAAATTGAGATTTTTAGAATAGAAAAAAAATTAATTTTGTTCGCTATAGTTTCGTTCTAATTTTAGTATATTGCTCTATGTGTATTAGGGTTTTCGGCTCCGGAGCTGTTTTTCGGAACCGAGAATTTCCCGTTTTTTTCTACTAATTTTTGTTCAATGGTGGTGCAGTTCATCAATCAGAAAGCAAGGGTTGGTTTTTCAAAGTAAAATAGATAAAAAAAATAGAGATTTTTAATGAAAATAATATAAAATTACTCAGTAATCAGTCATGAAAAAATTAACATGAACACACACACATGAAGACAAGTAAAGAAAAAAGTATAGGTAACTTACTTCCCCTAGGAGATGCGATGCAAGGGGTATTGTGCAAGCGGGTGCAAGCGGGTGCAAGGGGTATTGAAGCGATACATATAGCCTAGCTTACCCAAAAGTCAACCTCACCTTCACGTGGTGCACCCTGTTTACACAAACGAGGCTCTGACGTCCGAGTATAGGCGGTATAACCTTATACAACCCTCAGACCTACCATCTTCTGGGGAAAAGGAGTAATAAAATACACCTATACTTCTACATGCGGGGCTCTGTAGAAGTGGACCGACTCTCCCTAGCGACTCATGGAAACACTATGAGATCTGGTAATAAAAACATCACCGGTGAAGCTGTGGGGAAACCCCCTAGCAACACTGGGAACAGTAACAATGAAAGTTCCAAGGGGCCAAACCCAAAGAGAACTACAGGAAAGGTGGCTGACACTTGCGTGAGACAATCCTTCGCAAGTGGCATACAAGTTACAACCTCCTCCAAGGGTCGGGAGCCTACCTCCTACCTCTAAACCCAACAGGCGACACAAGCTACCGTTTCGTCTAATACCCGGCCTGGGTCGTAGCTCCTCGACTGTGAAGGACACGGGTCTCCGTAGGAAGTCCTGGGACTGTATGATGAGTTATAACTCAAGAAAGGGGGACACAATAGATCTCTAAGGTCGCAGAGATTAACCCCCCTCCCACTTATTCTAAATTCTAAAATAGGTAACTTAAATTTCACATCAAACAACATAAACCAACTTAACTCAATTTGAAATAAAAGCCCTAAAAAAATATTGAATTAAAACTGCACATATCTATAAAAAATTAACATAATAAATACTACAGGAACTTCAAAAGAGAAAAGAAGCAAGAACGATAAGAAATTGCATCATTACTTATTAAGAAGAGTTTGATTTCGACTGCTGAAAGTATCAAAGGACTTTCTCACGTAACAAAAAAATTTTTTTTTACTTATTGTTACCGAAGCCCGGTTCTGTAACGGCCAAAAAGTTTTTTCTTGCCATTTAACAATTTTATAGTTAAAAAATTATCTTCAATATCTTTGAAATTTATACAGCGAGTTAAAAGCATAAGACGCCAAATATATCGAAACATGAAACCAGAACTAAAATTAATGAACAGTATACACACAACATCCATATTTGGATACCCATGTTAATGAGCAAATCTAATTTACTGTACCAATATACTGAGTGATTAATGTGGTCTTCTATTTTAAGTGCTTTGTCATGTTCTCGATATAGTTAATTTTCCTTTTGGAATTCTTTCTACTTTGCTAAATTTTTATGCTTCAGATCACATGAAAATATCATATACCTTGTGTCGGGTTGAATATATTTATGTATTTTAGCTCAACTGATATGTGGGAAATAAAAAAACTTCTGAGAAATTAGTATCCAAAAAATGTTTAGGGTATTTTTATCCATATATTGCCGGAAAACTATTAAAAAAAAGCAATATAAAACTATACTCAGATGCAAAAAAACGCAACGGAGGATTTTTTCGTCAAGTTTAAAGTGTTATATTTTTTTTTTACTTTTAGCCTTTTTTTAGCAAACTGTATATAAATCTATCAACTTTAACACATCAACACAGTTTTTTATAAACTTTAGTATTTGGCTTATTATTCAGGGTTAATTGGGGGACTGTTTTTACCATAACTTTAAAACACGCTGTGCAATAATTTCGTGAGTAACTTTTCTTAAAACGTTCTTTTTCGGCCAGAACTATATCTCCCGAGCATTTTATTTTTTGACTGATGTCAACACATGCCTTGGTTAATTTTTAAGAGCGAAATGAACTTGCCACCAACAATTTGCAATTTTTTCAACTATCATTACTTTATAATGTTATTTTTGAATATGACGAGGTGGCTTTGGTGACTACTGTCGTAATGTCATATCGACACTGATTAGAACTTTATATTAAAATTTAAAAAACGTTAAAAAGTAACGATACAGGCTTGGTTTTAATAGATAGTAGTAACACTAACAGAACTAAGGATATTAAAAAAAATCAACTGTAACAACTAAGTGTACAAACAAACAAAAAACTTACAAAAACATAAAAATACTCTAATACTTTGTACTGTATCCCCGGCTGCTATAAGTCTCTGTAGACGTCGTTTCATGCTGTTAATGAGGCTGCATATTTTGAAAAAAAAAACTAATAATATATTACTACATAAATCATAGAATACTACAAGAGTTAATGTAACTGAATTGACTAAAGTATGTAGGTATTCAATTTGCTTATATCAAAAAAGGAGTAATATAGTAGATTATGAGCGCCAATAATATATAAACATGTTTCTGCATTTATAGTTATATCTATCGATTCCATGGTTATAACCACTTAAAATAAATCTAAACTATAATAAAAGTCCTGTCGTAAGCGTTAACACGTATTTGTATTTGTTAATACAGCAAAACTCCATTACTGCGAATTTGCTTACACCTTCTCGCAATTTATTAAGATAATAGTGCATAGAGATCTTGGTTTGCATTTTAGCTAATTGTACACATTAAATATCCGTTCAAAGGTTGTTATTCAATACAAACATAGTTTAAAGAACGAGTTTATTCAAATGGCCATATCTGCGTAGAAAAAGTACAGAAATCAACAAAGACATATTTGAGTTTAACACAACATTCTCATCATATTGAGTCGTTAACACTTCTTAAATTGTTCAGTGGTTTTCGTAACACTGTATAACTAAAATTTTGAATTAGAATTGACTTTTTTATAGTGATACGATTGTTGTCTTTTATTTTGCATATAGAGGTAGAAAAAAAAAGCAGATAACTTTTAAACACTATTGTTTTTCGAAGCATTTTCCACAAACAGAAAGGCATGTTTGCATCCGTTGGAACCACTTCTGAAAGCAGTTATTCTACTGCTTGTTGGTACCTTCAAAATAGTGTTTTTGAAGGCACTGACTGCATCTTCTGGCGACTGGAACCTTTGACTACGCAGTTTATTCTTAATTTTTAGAAACGTAAAATAGTCAGAAATCATGAACCTATACCTACGTTTTCTAATTATTTTATCAACTATGAAGGAGAATATCCATTACACTCAGCTACAATCATAATGTAATATCTTTCTATTTCATATCTTTCGTTGGTAAGTGGAAAACTAAGTAATCTATGAACTAAGAAATTTAAACTAGCCATTTTAAGTTCAACATTATGATATGAATCATTAGGAATATATCTGTGTGTAGTGGTATTTTTCCTATAGACATCAAATTCCAGGCAATTATTGGTATTTCTAATAACTAATAAATCTAGAAATGGTAATCTGTCGTTCTCAATTTCATGTGTAAATTTAATGGAAAGAAAACGATTATTTAACTTAGAAATAAAATTATCTATGGTATCTGAATGTGTGTCAAAAACAGCAAAAATATCATCCACATACCTAAACTCTTGGGAAATACTCAAACTGATTCTTAGCCTCCACTTCAAACCTGCTCATGAATAAATTAGCCAAAAATGGAGACAATGGATTACCCAATGCTGTACCTTCCCGCTGTACAAAAAAGTTGTTATTAAATTGAAACCAATTTTGTTTCATACATAACGATGTAAGCATTGTAAGCTCAATATATTCAATCACAGTTTTGTAGTCGAGATCATTTGCGTTCAGTAATTCCTTCAAGTAACCTAAAGTATGTGGAATTTGAACATTTGGGAACAACGAAAATACATCAAAGGAGACCAAAATTTCACCTTTATTCAATGTTATATTTTTAATTTTGTTAATGAATTTAATGTTATTTTTAACTGAGAAAGAGGGTTCGAAAAAAATCAAAGATTATCCTAGAACAATCGAATTTTTACGGGGTTTTTAACAGGACACTGTCTTCTCAATGAACACCTCAGTGGATTGAAGCTAAGAAACAACGACAAATACAGATTCTGTGGGGAAAATTGCGGAACACCAGAACACCTCATCACTGAGTGCTCCGAGACGACAACCATTCGTGCCATAAACTTTGGTACGACTCTACGACTGTTAAAGAACAAACCTCTGTAAAACCGTCTCAGATACCGGCTTTTGTCAAAGCCGTGAAACTGTATGATCAGTTCAGTGGTACTAAAACAAAAACCGATATGTCAATAGGAAAATAATTTTAACATATCGGATTACCACAGAGTTATAACTCACCAGAGTTATAACTCAAGAAATGGGGACACAATAGATTTATAAAAGTCGCGGTGATTAACTTCTCGCCTCCCATGTGTCTATATCTAAAAGTTTGATAATTGTTTTTACTAATAAAACCACCATCTTTTCCACAAACTAAAACACAACGTGCCGCCCGCCGATCATATTCGTCCCCCTCGCCGTACCCCTCCCATCCCTCCCCGAGGAACACACGTCTCTCCGCGCAACACTCGTAATAATGAGCACAATTACGGGATTACGTTCGGGTTCCCTCCTCCTCCCAGCGCCCCGCCACCGCCGCTCCCCCTTGGGGGTAGACCCTCGCTCTCTCGCCTACTCCGACTTGTACAATTCACAAATTGCTTTTCGATACGACCGGTTCTCTCTCTCTTTCTTTCCCCCTAGTCGACGCTCGGTCCGTCAGTCGTAGCCCGACCGCGTAGGGAGTTGTATCGCGCGTTGCAGCACTCAATCCACGCCACGTTGTGTTGTCGTTTCGTCTGTGGCTCAGACAGAGACCAGTTTGTGTTTTAGTTGTTTACGGCCAAGGCCGAGAGTCGTATATAGAGCCGCGTGGCTCGCAAAAACGTTGTTCGGATAAGTTTAGAGCGTACGCGGTGTTCTTTTGTGTGTTTACCTTTGGATTATCCCAAGGAGAATGTGCTAGGACGATATTTTTGGTTCGGTGTGTGTGTTTGTTTCGGAATTATTGCGAGAATGATCATGTAATTAGATATTTATTGCTGGGCGGAAAATATCGAAGTGTTTACAATAACCTAGAAGGTAATTTTAGTTGTGATGCGTTTTAAACAGTTCGATGTTTACCACGTGATTTGGTTGTTTCTTTAGAATTCTATTTTTCAATCTGTGGTTCTATTATTCTTTACATACAAAACTAGAGATTCGTAGGTATCGAAGTAAATGTAGTGTTTTCCACCAACAAAGAAGATTTTATTTAAGAGACCACAATAAACATTCGAACTAAGGAAAATTATATGCAAGGTGTTAAAATTAAGAAGGTATCTATATCTGCAGATACATATCATTACTGAGTGATGCCATAATTAGTAACAACGCGTACAAAATTGTGATCCAATTTAATCTTCTATCCAAACTAAATTTCCTCTAGATATAATATAGAGCAGCGTGGCTCCCAAAATCGTTGATTTGATAAGTTTAGAGCGCACGTAGTGACTTTTAGGGTGTCGATTTTTGGATTGTCCCAATGAGAATGTGTTCTAACTTCCAATTTAATCTTCTATCTAAATTAAATTCCAATATTGGAAACATCCCATTATTGAGGAAGAAAAATTTGCAATCCTCTCTTGGTATATTTTCATATACAACTGAGGTACTGAAACAGACCAGCTTTTGTACTGAAACAGACCAGTTTTTTGTTGAAGCTGTTTACAACCAAGGCCGAGAGTACTCGTATACCTCTAGATTTCTAGAGCAGCGTGGCTCCCAAAATCGTTGATCGGATAAGTTTAGAGCGTACGCAGTGTTTTTCTTGGGTCTTTACTTTTGAATTATCCCAAGGAGAATATGCTAAGACGTTATTTTTTGATTCGTAATGTGTGTTTATTTCGAAATTATCTTCAAAATGAACATGTAATTAAATTTTTATCGTTCTCCGGAAAATATCAATGTTTACTATCTCCTAAATGGTAATTTGAGCTGTTTGTTGTGTAGGTTTGAACTGGTTTGTAGTTTACGAGGTGTTGCGGATTTTTGTTTCGAGTTGTATTTTGTATTTTTAAATAGTATACTCTAAATGCGTATTAGTTAAAATATATTAAATATGATATGGTCTAATATGTATGTGGTTATTAATATTGTTGTTTACCATAAGCAATTAAGCTATACATCGGAGCAAATTATTTTTCACCATCAAGAAAGAAGATTTTAATTAACTAACCACAAGTAACATCTGAACTAATTAGAATTGCTAATCACGAAGTTAGAATTATAACCGCATCTTTAGCAACACTTAATATCATATCAACTCGTTCAGTATCATAGTTTCAAAAACGTTGTTCGGATAAGTTTAGAGATAGAGCAGAGGTTCTCAACCTTTTTTTTTTCATAGACAACTTTCAAAAATTTTTATTGGAAATTTTTTCTATTGGTTTTGGTGGACCCCCAGGTTGAAGGACCCTTGAGGGAATCATATCATAAGTTTAGAACGTACTGCGTATTGATATATATTTTGTGTGTTTACGTTTGGATTATGTGAAGAAAGAGAATATTTATGCTAAAATTATATTTTGGGTTCGTGGTGTATGTTTGTTTCGAAATTATTTTGAGAATGGTCACGTAATTAGATATTTATTGTTACCGGAAACTATTAAAATGTTTGTTAAAACCTAGAATGTAATTTATAGGTCATGTTCATCGTGGGCGTTTGAAATAATTAGTTGTTTACCACGTGATTTCGATTTTTGTTTAGTATTACTTTTTTAATTTATTCTAAATGTTTATTATTAAGCAAAATGAAATATTATTTATATGTGGTTCTATTAGTCTTTACCATGATACTCACCTGAGATATGCATCGAAGTCAATGTAGATTTTTCCACCAACAGAGAAGATTTCATTTAACAGAGCACATTAACATTGGAACTAATGGAAACAGGAAAAAATAAATAAAATTGAGACGGTATCTTTAAGAACACTTAAATATAATTACTGAGCAATGTCATATTATTAATTCTAATTTAATCTTCTGTTTAAATTAAATGTCAATATTGCAAACATCTCATTACTGAGGAAGAACAATTGACAATTATCTTTTGTTATATTTGCATCTCGATTTTCATATAGGTAGAGCTGATGTATTCAAACGCTTGTGTATAAGTTGTATACAACGCACAACCTAGGCTGATAGTTGTATATAGATGTATAGCATTGCATGGCTTAGAAAACCGTTGATCGGATAAGTTTGAGTGTCGGCAGAGCTTTTTTGGGTGTCGACTTTTGGGATACCTCAAGGAGATTGTGCGCAAATGAGATATGTATCTGAGTAAAGGCTCTTTGCCATCGACGTAGATTCTACCATTCCAAAGATTCCATTCATTCCATTGGCATATTTAATATAGAATAGTAGTAGAACCAAACCATGAGCCTTTGATTGGGTATGGAATAACGTCGAGAAGACACGTTAGATCTATATTATCTAGATGCAATTTTTGACCATCTTATGGAGAGTATACGACAATGATATTCCAACTATTTTAGGTGGATTTATAGGGTTTAGATGAAAAGTAAGAAGTAGTATACCTATCTGAAACATAATGAATATCTATGATAAGCATCTATTCAAGCATGAATATGAAGTGCCAAAAAGGCTGCTGTTGTATCTGCTTCAATACATGAAATATCTGTAATTTAGTTGTGAAGAACCCATGAACTGAAGAATAATTAAATTGTTGAAGTAAATCTGTTAAATACTTATGAAATTACTTATGAACTATTAATGTATTAATAGTTCATAGTTAATAAATAGGAACTATGAACTACTGAAGTCATGCAATATATAATAGTATATGCATATGGATACGATTGGAAAAAACTGTTCCTTCAATTACCAACCTATTTAGGTTTCAATCATTTTTTTTTCATTGAAACATTCAAAAATTAGTTTGAAATTAGATCATTCATTGTATGTTTTTATGGCATATCCGAGTAATAGAATAGAATAGAATAAGTGGGAGGGGGGTTAATCTCTGCGACCTTAGAGATCTATTGTGTCCCCCTTTCTTGAGTTATAACTCATCATACAGTCCTAGGACTTCCTACGGAGACCTGTGTCCCTCACAGTCGAGGAGCTACGACCCAGGCCGGGTAGACGAAACGGTAGCTTGTGTCGCCTGTTGGGTTTAGAGGTAGGAGGTAGGCTCCCGACCCTTGGAGGAGGTGGTAGCTTGTATGCCACTTGCGGAGGATGGTCTCACGCAAGTGTCAGCCACCTCTCCTGTAGTTCTCTTTGGGTTTGGCCCCTTGGAACTTTCATTGTTACTGTTCCCAGTGTTGCTAGGGGGTTTTCCCACAGTTTCACCGATGATGTTTTTATTACCAGATTTCATAGTGTTTCATGAGTCGCTAGGGACAGTCGGTCCACTTCTACAGAGCCCCGCATGTAGAAGTAAGGGGTAAAATACAGTGGGGTGCCCCAAGGTTGAGGCTGTCCGTAGCCCCGCCCGGTATCGTTATATGTCTTGGTGCAATTCCCTGGCCACGACACTACAGTCAGGGACAAGACGATGAGTGAGATGCTTCTTAGACCAAGCCAAGTGCTAGAGGGGATTCCCCCCAGCACTTGACCAGGAGCTTCCCCACCAACGACAAGGTCTTGCATCTCCTAGGGGATATATCCGAGTAATGCTATACTGGTGAAAAAAAATTCTAAATGACATTTCGAACTCAAGTTACTTTCCAATTTGGAATTTAATTATAGTAATTAGATTGAATCTCATTGTCGTCAAGAAGCAGTTTTTGAATTTTTTTTATTTATTAATTAAATATTATTTATTAATTATTTATTTATTAAAACTCTTATTTTACATCCGAATTTTTAACTGAGTGATATTCTTGGCCGTCAATGTTACCTATAATATTAATATGTTACCTATCGTAACATAGGAAGAAATCGTTCTTTTACACGAAAGCTCAATCTTATAAAAGAACTGTTTACGGTTGTAGCGGATAGTAGAAATTTAAGAAAATCGGTCAAGAGTTCTCTATAGAGCTTTTAGCTCACCAAATACTGTTAAGAAAGAAGTTTAAATCCTGAGTTTATTTTGCCGATCGAAGTTAACTATCTAAGGATAAATGAACAACTATTATTTGTTTATTATTTACTTAGTAAGTATTTAGACATCTATATGGTAACTTAGACAGTAAATTAATATTAAATTAGATATAATATATTCTTCTGATTGTTATCGTCAAATTCAAAAGTAATTTTAGAAATTTTTGTTTGCAATCTCCAAATAATCTATGATTTACTATTTCATCACATAATTTGAATGTTATATTTCAATCATTTTTTGAAGTATTCTATATTTTAACTACTTAAAAAAGTTAACTTCGTTCATGTAATTAAAGCGTGGTAGCTAATTATGTCTCATAACACGCGCACCTGTGACACTTATCGGATTGAACAAACACTTTTTTAATATCTACCATTAGATAAACGTGTAAAATATGTTAATTTAGTACTATTGTAAATCAAATTTATGTAGCAATTAATATTCTATTCATTATCGCATTACTTAAAAGGTGAGATTGGCAATAATAATTGAAAATTATACTTTTCTACTATGGCACATTCTTGCTCAGAAGCTTTGTTCGCTTAATATTAGTTATATTTAAAGTACAAACAACATTGTTGTTTGAAAATGTGACAGTGTTACGAAGCTGCAGACACAAGTTTAATAAAAGCGATATAAAGTTAATTAGTGTTTTTATTTATAACTTTGAAATCTGCTTATCACAAAGTACAGTACAAGTTATTCGGATCAGTTATAATAATAATCAATAATTATTTTGCCGGGAGTAAAATAATGACGTGTGAGAGACTAGGATGAGGAAGAAACTAAAATGCAGTTATCCTGCAGTTAATGTGCAAAAATGTTTTGCGTTGATTGGGAAACTATTTGGAACAAGAAGAAAAGGAAGAATAATTTCTTTGTTAAAAAATCGCTGCTATACGACACTGACAGAATTATTTCGAGCAGCTATTAATAGTGTTAATATTACGATCTCGATTATGCTATTCAATA